GGAAAAAAAAAAAAAAAAAAAAAAAAAGAACTGCACCCTCCAATATGGTAGCCACTAGCCCCAGGTGTGTATTTCAATTCAAATTTTAATTAATTAAAAATTGGTGCAATTTAAAATTCAGTTCTGTCATAACTAGAACTGAAAATTTGTATTTCTCAGACCCATCAGGGATTGAGATTTCAAGGCAAACCACAACTCTGAACTCCAGAGAAACAAGTGAATACAAAGAATCATAGCCAAGATCAGCTTACCTGGAACAGAAGCTACTACAGCCATAAATTGATGGGAATGAACACTTAAATGGTAATTTTGATGAACTGCTTGAGTCCGAGTGTGCACTAGAGTGAAAGGAAGACGTTCCTGGGGTCAGTAGTCTTAGGCGCCCAGAAGCAGGTGGATATAACTAAAGGAGGGCAAAAGCTACAGGCCTGGAAGGATTTGTGTACTGCTAGAGATCTGGTACCAATGCAGGAGGAGGAAGGAAGAAATAACCTCACCTCTCTCTTTGTCCACCCTTCCGTCTCTCGCTACTACTTCCTATTGGAGTGGTCAAAACTACTGGAACCAGTCATTGGCACCTTTTAATGTCTATGTGGTGATGTCATGTTTCCCTGTTCTTAATCCTTGTGCTCATGTCAATGTTTGCACAGAAAAGAAGCATGTTCTTTCTCCAGTCTTTGCAGTCTGGCTTTGTCTGGAAATGTCCTTCAACAGTAAGCCTGTTCAGAAATTCTAGATAGATTGTCTGTTGTGATCCCTATACCCGCAGCAACTGCAGCCATTGCAGTACCAGGGAGTGCAGCACCAGTCTGGAAGCCAAGCCCCCAGCCACTGAGACCTGTCACTGTGGGTTATTCAGAGTCCCCGCCTGCTGTAGTCAGTCAGCAGTGAAGCAGGTCAGAACTCAAGTCCCTCTTGCAGGGACTACAGGTTCCTGTTTGGTGCTGGGGTGGGTCTAGAGGTTTAGTCTGTGGGTACTGTCCTTGAGTCAGGAGACATGGGGATCTGCCTAGTACTGGATTTTATTGTGGGCTCAGTGTTGAGGCCAACGCAAAGTCCTATGCTTGCTTTCTTCTTCCTCAAGTGGATGGTATCTCTGCACTGTACTGCCTGGGGTTGGAAACAGGTGAGGCAAATAACGTAAAACTGTTTTTTCTATACTCTTTAGTGCATCTTTTCTTATTATTACACTATAACCAGGTACTGTGATCTCTCACCTGGTTTTCTTAGCTCTTGTGAAGGTATTTTTGTGCATAAAAATTGTTTAAATTGCTGTTTCTGGGCTGGCCTGGTGGTACATTGGAGAGTGTGCCGCTTGGGAGCGCGGTGGTGCTCCCGAGGGTTCAGATCCCATGTGGAGACCGGTTCCCGCTCACTGGCTGAGCGCGGTGTGGG